TAGTAAATTTTTGTGTTATTTACGTTTTTTTACAATTTCTTATGTTTTTCGCGTTTGTTTTGTTACACAAGATCCTGATCTTCAGCCCGGGATTTTCTGGACATAAGGGTACCCTGCTGTATTACGTTACTGCGCCACATCAATCATCCCTGCCACGTGCTCACAGTATTCATAGGCAATAAATTCACATTATTTATACAGTTTAATGTACTTTTTAAAAAAGCGAAAACCAACCATAATAACGTAAAAAAAAACATATAGAAGGTTTCATTAAAGTTGTAGGACTCCATAATCAAAAATAAGATCTGATTCTCGTCCGTTTAAAAAAGTTAGTATACTGTAGTAATAACTTCTCAAAACCCGATAAATCAACTTATTACTAAGTCAATTTTTTTAAACGGACGAGAATTAGATCTTATTTTTGATTATGGAGTCCTACACTCTAATGAAACCTTCTATATGTTTTTTTTATTACTTTATTATGGTTGGTTTTCGCTTTTTTAAAAAGTACACTAAACTGTATAAATAAAGTATAGCTGCCCCAGTGAGACCATGAAAGATCGTCGTATATGCACCAATCGATTTTTTTTTGCAACGTGAAAATCACGCTTTTTTTTAAAAAACAGACGATAACTAAAAATTTTGACTATAAACCTACTTTCTGCGCTCTAATAAAAAAAAACTCCTTGGTATAGGCATGCATATTGTATCCCTATACCAACCCTAACATGAGGTTTTAGTACTTTAACATATTACGCATATTTAAAGTTGGTTTTATTATTTGAAAAGATCTGATTGGTGCATATACGACGATCTTTCATGGTCTCACTGGGGTAGCTTCACAGTATCACTTCACAGAAAATCATTTTACAGATACTTCATTTCATAGACAATCAATTCAGACAAGTTTATTTTAAGGACAGATAGTTCACTTCACAGGCAGTTCATTTTGCAGACAATTATATCTAAACCAATATAAAATTTTAATTATTGTGGGATTCAGTGATTGGATTTAGATCTTATCAAGACAATCATTCTGTAATTGAATTATTTTCTTTTAAAGGTTGTCAATAGAATGAACTGTTTGCAAATGAGCTGTTGGTTATGGGTCAAAATCCCGACAGACAGAATCCCGACGGGTCATAATCCCGACAGTTAAAATATCATAGACAATGCAAACCATATCTTAACCCTTATCTAAGTGACCTAACCCTAAAAGTAATTAAATTGTAAGGGTCTATTTCGCTTTAAACATATACCATACTTGGGGATTTTCTACCTAAAAATTATGGCTGCCGGGATTTTCGACTGTCGGGATTATCAACTGTCGGGATTATGACCTGTCGGGATTTTGACCCGCACACATGAAGTAATTTTCTGTAAAGTGATACGTGATATGTACCCAATAAGACATAGGTTTGCCCATCCATACCGATAATCGATTCACTGATAGCCCACTTCACCAAATTTTTTTAACCTTAACTTAATTCTAATCTGACTCTAATGAAACTGACCAGAACTACTTTGAAGTGATTGTCGGTGAAATGAGCACCGGTTATGGCAGGAATCTTAATTGGGAAACCTTTAATTGAAAATTTTTACTTTGGCATTACTGGCTAAACAAATATTCATTGTAGACAAGCAAATTTTTTTATAAATTATCATCAATATCCTAAAATTTTTAATCAGCCAAAATTTCAGTGTTTTATGCAAATTTTACAGGACAAAAAATTTCTATTAAAATAATTCTATAAAGTAAAATTTCAAGATGACAGAAGAAACCATCGCGATACCCATTCAGGAAACATCCGGTATAATACTTAATCCGGAGGAGGAACGAATTTTAAATGATCAAATTCGAACGACTGAAAAAAAAGAATCATATTTTACTTTATATCGGTTCGCTACAAAATTTGATTGGATGATTATGTTTATTGGATTAGTATTTTCAGCGGGTGCAGGTGCTGCCATGGTATGTGCATTATCCTTCTTTTTACGTGTCATTTTTTTTCAAATCTCTTAACGTTTTTTATGTCCCATTCAATTTTGCAGCCTACAGTAACCATAATTCTCGGAAAAATGATCGACTTTTTTACTCGTTTTCAACTTCACATAATGACCAACGATGAATTTTCTGACCAAATAAATTCCCACTCATTAATTTTTGTATACCTTGCAATTTTCATTTTTTTTGCTACGTATATATCTATTTCTACTTGGGCATATACTGGTGAAAGGTGATTCTTTATCTAGTTTTATGCTAAGTTATTAAATAATTTGAATGAGACCAACATCACGTGACTATTATTTCAGAATTACTCGACAAATTCGTGAACGATATCTTCGCGCAGTCCTGAGACAAAACA